CCTTAAGTAAAGATATTAAAACCAATCAACAATTAAATAAATGGGATTAGAAAGGCAAAGCGTATTAATCACCCCTAGAATTAAGACACATCCTCTTAAGATACAATAAATTAAAATAAAGGGGAAACAAAATGGCCCTAACAAATATGCATGACCAATATGTCAAGAAACAAGGTCAAAATCTTATTACATAATGAAAAAACACTCCAAAAAATAAAATTCCCTCTTTCCAACAATTGGACACTCTTTAGAGGTTGCAATTCGGTCTCTTGCATGTCTTTTGCGCTTGAAATGACCATTACCTTTCATTATTTCAATTCATGGAAGAGTACTTCACCCGATTTACGTTTCTAAGATTCTGCACCCAATTGACATTACCATGTTAATCGTAAAGGAGTAGGAGCATTCTGAGTGGGGTAAAGAAGACCTTCTATGAATTGGTCACTCTATGTTCCAAAAAATTACAAGTTGCCCAAAATGAGGTGGAATGCCTAGCTATACCGAATCATTTGTGTGCACCAACTTGCATGAGAAGAAAAAACGGCTTCTATTCAAACAATGAACATGTGGTATAATTTAAACTGCAACCAAAAATATCAACAATATAAACACAAAAGAGTAATATTAGTCTCAATTTTTTTCATTAAGCTACTGAAAGGGAACATTAGTCCCAATACAAAGAATCATGAGTCTATTAGTGTTCCAAGTGAGGCCCTAATACATAACTAATGCTTCTCTTTACTGCATTCTTATGAATATCCCCAAACTAAAATTTAAAATAATCCAATAAAATAGTCATTCAAAAACTATAGTAAGTTTTTATGGAATAAAAGAGTCAATTATTTAAGTAAAAATGAAAGCTCTCTCAGTGTTGCATTTGAAAAAAATTGAATATGAAACTCAATAAACACCAAAGTGCTTTTACAATTAAAAATAGGAGAAAAAATATTGAATTTGAACAAAAGTTTACTTAGTCATTTCAACAAGCACTTTATGGGCAAAAACAAACTAGAGTAACACTTAGTGTAAACAAACTATGGTTTACACTAAGATTTCAATAATTAACCCCTCAAATCTCTTACAATAAAACAAAGCAATCAATTTTCACTGTTAAAACATATATAATATTCATGAAATTAGGAAAAGTATATAAAAAAACCCTAAATGCATATGAAAAAATGGGAATAATTGTTTACGATTAAGTTGGGAGAAAAATTGAAATTGATGTATATGATGATTTCATCAATTATTCAAGGTTATAACATCCACAATATACATAAAATCGGGAAAAATATAAAAAAGCAAAGCACACAAGAAAAATAGGAAATATATATTACCTCATGGTTTGAGAAGAGGGATCAACTATAGAGAAAAATGAATTTATGTATGAAAACTAAATGAGGAGAAGGATTGAAATGATTTTGAAATCAAGGAGTTTGAAAATGAAAAAAAAGGTGAAAGAAGAGAACCACTAGGTAGAGTGCAGGGAAGAGAACGAGAGAATAGGGAGGAAGAGAACGAGAGAAAAGGGATTAAGGGAAATGAGAGAGAATGAATGGAGTAAAAGAAAAAAGTGAAATGGTAAAAAACTAAGGTATATATATATATATAGTGTGTACAATGTGTGTACACTTTGTGTAACCCAAGCACAATTGTATTTGGTATATGTGTCAGAGAAAAAGCAAATGTATATTTCATTTTCAAAAGACACAATGTGTGAAATGAAAGAAAAACCAAAGAAGACATGACCTGGGCCAATAGGGATGCATTCCACCTCATTTTGGGCAACTTGTAATTTTTTGGAACATAGAGTGACCAATTCATAGAAGGTCTTCTTTACCCCACTCAGAATGCTCCTACTCCTTTACGATTAACATGGTAATGTCAATTGGGTGCAGAATCTTAGAAACGTAAAATCGGGTGAAGTACTCTTCCATGAATTGAAATAATGAAAGGTAATGGTCATTTCAATATTTATATATGTAATATTTTCATAATGAAAGGTAATGGTCATTTCAAAAGTAATCGGGTGACCGCCCCCTTAGACTTTCAAAATTTTCTATTATATATGTAATATTTTCATAATTTTTAATACTTTAATTAGATATATATGTGTTCACCTCCCTTAATTTTTATTTTTCAAAAATTTATATAGCATCTAAAATAATTTCAATAGTTTAAACAAATAAACATTAGAGTAACTCATTGTTCAATACTTAGGATACATATTATATAAAAATTTCTAGTTTTGTAATGTTTAATTATCAGACACACTAGTTAAACAGTTAATAAATCATGTAAATTGAATCCAAAATATAAATGTTTGTTGGTGACACTTAATATTAAATTACACGATCAATTTACTTCTTACTTTCTAAAAACATTTTATTGCATAGATAATAAGCTTTAACTTATTTTAGCAATAATACAAATATAAATGCACCATATATATGAATCTGCAATATAATATGATTCTAAAAATAATAATCTCATACATACTATTGTAATATTAAGAAAACTTCTCGTGACTCACAAACACCCTCCTTGGTAGACAAAAATTGCAATTCAAAGACTAATCGTTTATTTCGATAAGATTCATGTGATTAAACAAAGCAGATGTTATTTAAAAATTAAAGTATTGGTGGATGTATACATTTTAAACTTTTTATATTCAAATAATTTGATAAAATATTATATATCCTTTTTTTCTTTTCAAATAATTTCCCTTTGATTTGTCATTTCTTACGCTTTAATGTATTAATACTTTTTTCTAGAGCACTTCAATTATAAAATCAAAACTATTTTCCATTGTCTCAACTTAGAATGTAATAGATTTGAATGTCGTCATGTATGTATTAATGGATATTTTTGAATAAAAAATAGGTCAAAGCCCTATACTAGTAAAAAAAATTAGCTCCGCTACACTAGTGGGAAAAAAATGCCCCCCACACTAGCGAAAAAAATTTCATCCCTATACTAACGAAAAAATTTCACCCCTCTTGACTCAAAATCCTGGATCCGTCCCTGAGGCCAATAGATCATCAAGTTTCCCCGCTATTCTTAAGGGAAATGAAAACCTCACTCAAGTTTGAAGGTTATCTTACAGCAGAAATTTAAGAGAGAAAGATTTGTCAGGATCTCGATTCAAAAGAAGATTGCACGACCAACAAAAAAACTCATCTTTAGTACATAACACACCATCACCTTCTATTATTCTAATGTTCACCAAAAACATTTTTGGCTTATGCTATTTCAATCTTAGTCCATCTGCCAATATTTATTTAAGAATTAACACAAAACATGGTTATAAGTTAAAGGGAAAGGGGTTAAATAGACCCTCGAACTTACATAAAAAGGTCAAATAAGCCCTTATATAGGAGGCTCTGTCTGGTCGTCGTCATTTGGGGCAATTCCTGGTGGAATTTTTTGAGCATCTTATTCATTAAGTTTAGTTTACTCATACCAAATTTCAGCTAACAATTCAATCGGGAAGGCATTCAAATGAATTCTTGAGGATAATTGCGTTTTTAACTGTGCAGTTACCTTCAAAAATTCATTTGAATGCCTTCCCGATTGAAGTTTTAGCTGAATAAGATGCTCAAAAAATTTCATCAAAAACTTCCACCGGGAACCGCCCCAAATGGCGACGGCCGGACAGAGCCTCCTATATAAGGGCTTATTTGACCTTTTTATGTAAGTTCGAGGACCTATCTGACCATTTTCTCTAAGTTAAATAAACAATACTCCCTTTGAATACACAAGCCTGTAAAGTGTGACTTCTAATTTAATTATATACCCAGGGAGTTGGAACACAAACCTAACGGGGATATTATATACTACGGGGTACTCCGTATCAACATACCTATTGCACGATCAAACACTTAAAGCTACTTGTTTTTAGAATGTAAGTGCAACTGAGACAATTATAAGGCAAAACATATTTCACTTTTTTTATCCTCCATTAAGTCTAACTTATAATAGTAGCTGGCATCTTTAATGAATCAAATATAGCACACGTACTATGGAAAACTATATGCCTTGGTGTGTAATGACAAAATTTCACATGACATTTCACCAAAAAATAAAATAAAGGAATACAAAGAGATGACAAAGAATATAAGCGAGAGGATATCAACATGACAAAAAATACAAAAGAAGGAATGGCTACCCACGCAGCAATTTATATTTGAAAAAATATAGAGATCCAAGAAGCCACTGCAATTGAATATCAACGAAATATATAATAAATTAAAAGAGAGTAGAGAACTTACAAATTGGCGTGAAGAAAACCCAAATATGTTCAATACCCAGTGTCAAATATGTATAGGAGGGCAGGCGATGACTGTTGAGTATCCAAATGACCTATTTGACAACCATGGTTGAGCGCAGGACTCTGTGAGCATAAAAGAAGAACATGGAGGTTCGGGAATTCTCAATACTCCGTCGTAGTATTTATTGATCTCAATACTCTATAGTTGCTTCAGAGCTTAACAGCAAAGTTGACTTCTGTGGCCCCAGTTTTGCCATATAACCGATACAAGCTTGGATTGAATATGCGTGGAGTGCAATCAGCGAAAGCACAGATAGACACCAACATTTTTTCTATGACAATTATACCCCTAACAATATTCATGCTTATAAAAGAAGTAGATTAGTATCAAATAAAAAGAGGGCCTTGCGTGTGAATTCTTCCGCCCCCACTTTTACCTCTACTTTTTGCACTCATATGAAACGCAGTGCACTTTATGATATATCACCAAAAATCAGTTGAATTGTTTACAAAAATATCACGCATTATTGTAAATAAGTGATTTTTGGCAAAATGTCAAAAAGTGCATTGCACTGCACATAATGTGAGACAAATATTGGTAAAATAGTATTCCTTGCTCCAACAACAATCTAAAGGAATAACAACTTAAAGTGAATAGAATGCGTCTTTTTTCTTTAAAGTGTCGATGTTATGTTCAAATCAAGTAAACTTATTTACAAAAAACTCATGTAAATTATTCTCATACAATATTTTTGAATTTTGGACTACTGCTGAACAATAAGTAATATATCACATACGGAAACACAAATTAAAAACAGCTAAGCCCGGATCATTGATAAGTAAATCCATTTATTCACTTAGAGTATTACACCTATCTAGCTAGCTAGCTAGCTATTAGATGTCCAATACATAATATAAGATGTAATTTGACTACTATTATTATTATCAGTGGGCCAGAGATGGATTCATGTAATTATAATTAGTACTGGGCGATTTATTTATAATGTGGTAGTCATCATCTTCAAAAAACCATTTTGTGATGAGTCCTCATAATTATTACTGTAAGAGGAGTTGATACACCATCCATAGTCGATGTGAGGATTAGGGTAACGAGCACAAAAATCACCGCTTCCCTTTTTGAAGCATTCTTCATTGGACTGGCATAAGTTTGGATGGTCTTCGATCCTCTTAGCAACAGACGCTAGTCGAGGGGTTATGCACTGACCAGCAACCAGCCCCCAAGGGATGCAACGACAATTGGTAGAATCCCCGCATGGTGGCATCTCAAACGGTGAACACACATCACGCCCATTACATGAAGCACTTGCAATCCCTAAGATGTCTACAAAATAAGTTATTACAATTATCAGCTCGTGTTCATTTCCAATCATAGTAATAAGTCAAATAAGCATAGACAAAGTATGTATGTGTATATATACTGCGTGTTGTCACTTTTCTTTGTGGCTTTTCTAATGTCTCTTTTACCTTTACGAAAAAATACATACTTAATTATTAATTTATCTTTGACATAGAGCATTCTTGGAAAATCAATAATAAAAATATTATTTAAGAACTCGTGAATTTAAACTAGAAATTTAATTGCGGGATGGAGGGAGTATATATATGTGCTTTGTGTATGAATTAGAAATGAAAAACCCATCTAATAGAAAACGTTAAATTTTAGAATTGATATTTATGTTAAACATAAATATGCGATCATTTTTTTGACAAAGAAATGTACTTAATTATTAATTTTATATTTTTATATATCATAATTTTGACAAAGAACATATTTGGAAAATCAATAAAAAAAACTATTTTGTTTAAGAACTGTGAATTTAAACTTGGAATTTATGGATTTTCATGGAAATAATCATTCTCACCAAAATCGTAATAACATATACATGTCTATATGTGATGATAATGTTTGCTTTTTTGAGAAATGTGAATGATGTAAAACAGTACACATTCTTATTCATGGTGGTGCACATTTTTATTTGTTACAATAATGCCCAATGTGTGGGGGCAGAAAACTTTAGTTTCTTTACCACATTTTTCTCAAATAATGCCGGTTATATGGTGTGCACATTTGACAACTCACAATTCTTAAATGTAATGCACTAAACTTAAAATCATCATTTCTCTCATTAGATTGCATTCTCTTTCGATCTTGTTTGTGTGTGTACATGTGTGTGTATTCATGTATATATATATATAATATATAGATATAAATTTGATGTGTAATTATGCTTCATAGTTAAATAAACATAACAAAGAGTACCATAAATAAATAAATAAAAAGGGAAGAGAAAATTCATATAGCTCTAAAATATATTTAGTTTGTTCAAATAAATCTATGAGTCGTTTTCCATAAATTAGTACTCTTACACTCTAACAATAAAGATTTATTAATTACTTTTTTTCCTTCTTATGAGAGAATAAGAGATACTTGTTGCTCAAAATATTAACCATATTTGCATATATGACCTATGTATCTATCATGTATTCTACTACGTATAATTTCTTATTGACAAAAGAACAATAAAAGTAAAGGTACATACATGAAGTTGCGATAAAGAAAGCCAAAGCAGCAAGCAACTTAAAGTAAACCATTGTTAGTTATTGCTTTGGAATAATTGCGTACACGTATATATATGCACTCATGGATAATGAACTTAGGATTGTGCGCGACATGCATGATAGTTAGTTCATTCATGAATAAAGTGAGTGCCTATTTTATATGTACCTTCAAACACCTTATTTAGAGATATTCCGCAAAAAAATGTGAGGGGACGGAAACTATAGACATTCTTTGTCATGCACTAGTTGCTTCCCTTCTATGTATGTGTACATCTATGCATCATGAGTTCTTGCACTAATTAGTTCTTCCATGCATATTGCACCACGTAGTTAAAAGTAGACTCATTTCATCTACTTTATTTCCATTTTGTTATTAATTACGGAGTAATTAAATGCAAATAAATACTTCAATTCTACGAGCATCTTAAGCAGGCTTTATATGTTGAAATAATGACGGAAGGAAGACTATCAGCTTTCCTTCGGACACAATAAGATTTAATTTTAATCTAGACAAAAAGGTGACTAAATGAACATGGAAGGATAGAAATACCCTCTAAAAGATAACCCAAAATTACCATCTCGCCCTTCGTCATACCCATCTGCACACCATCGCAATGCACATTATCCCATACCCGTCTGCACCTATGTCAATGCCCAATCCTTCGCCTCCAAAGTCATCTCACCGCCTCATCTCCGTCATCGATTAGGTCGATGATTGCACCCGAGATAGGGTTGTCGCAGAGGGTGGGGAAAGGGGCTAGGGGGTGCGGGTGCGGTTGGGAAGAGGGATATTATTAAGCTGTCCCACACGGGTTATGTATAGAAATACAAACCAACATATAAAGTCTTGGGCTACTCCTCCTAACAGGTTGACCTTTTAGGATGGAATCCCGAGTCTTAACATGGTATCAGAGCAAATTAAGCTCCAATGAGTAATTAGATCTTGGTAAGCCTCAACAACGAGCACACGGACTACAAGATTGGTCTGCTCCAACGAGCCACCATCTTGCGGGGCGTATTAAGCTATCCCACACGGGTTACGTATAGAAACAAAAACCAACATATAAAGTCTCGGGCTACTCCTAGCAGGTTGACTTTACGATGGAACTCGAGTCTTAATAGATATGAACATGTGGATGGGGAGTGGGGAGTGTGTGTCATAGAGGCGGTGGTAACTGCCGGCAGTAAGATCAATGATGGCGGCGGAGTCACTGGGGACGAAGGTCACTGGGTATTTAGAGGGAGACATGCATGTGACTAGAAAAGAGTCACTATTGACAGAGTTATTGGCAGTTAGTCATTGGAGGGTGGTCGATCACTATGTTCGGAGTCGTTGTCACTTAATACAGAGTCACTGTCACTTTGGTTGTAGTCACCATTATTTGGTCACTTGGGGTGGCGGTCACCGGTTGCCAAAGTCACTGGCAGTAGGTCACTAGGGCATCAGATGGTCAGGTCACTATGAAATATGTCACCGCTAATTGGGATGGATAATTTAGTAAAATACCTTTTGGTTTTTCCTGATTAATGACTAAGGATTTTCTTTACTTGGACTGAAATTTACTGGTCTGGTCTATTTAAGTATGGTCTAAATTAGTTTGATCTAGTCCGGTAACTATGGAAGCTAGTTTGGTCGGGTCTGGTCTGGTCTGGTATGTTCAAGTCTGGCGTGGTCTACGGGGATATTATATACTACGGGGTACTCCGTATCAACATAGGGCCTATTGCACGATCAATCACTTAAAGCTACTTGTTTTTAGAATGTAAGTGCAACTGAGACAATTACAAGGCGAAACATATTTCACTTTTTTTATCCTCCATTAAGTCTAACTTATAATAGTAGCTGGCATCTTTAATGAATCAAATATAGAACGGGTACTATGGAAAACTGTATGCCTTGGTGTGTAATGACAAAATTTCACATGACATTTCACCAAACACATAGCAACCAAAATAAAATAAAGGAATACAAAGAGATAACAAAGAATATAAGCGAGAGGATGTCAACATGACAACAAATACAAAAGAATGAATGACTAATCACGCAACAGTTTAAATTCGAAAAAAAAAAATATAGAGATCGAAGAAGCAACTGCAATTGAATATCAACGAAATATATAATGAATTAAAAGAGAGTAGAGAACTTATAAATTGGCGTGAAGAAATCCAAAATCTGTTCAATACCTGGTGTCAAATATGTATAGGAGGGCAGGCGATGACGGTTGAGTATCCAAATGACCTATTTGACAACCATGGTTGAGCGCAGGACTCTGTGAGCGGAAAAGAAGAACATGGAGGGTCGGGAATTCTCAATACTCCGTCGTAGTATTTATTGATCTCAATACTCTATATATAGTTGCTTCAGAGCTTAACGGCAAAGTTGACTTTTGTGGCCCCAGTTTTACCATATAACCGATACAAGCTTGAATTGAATATGCGTGGAGTGCAATCACCGAAAGCACAAATAGACACCAACATTTTTTCTAGGACAATTATACCCCTAACAATATTCATGCTTATAAAAGAAGTAGGTTAGGATCAAATAAAAAGAGGGTCTTGCGTGTGAATTCTTCCGCACCCACTTTTACCTCTACTTTTTGCACTCATATGAAACGCAGTGCACTTTATGATATATCACCAAAAATCAGTTGTTTACAAAAATATCGTGCATTATTGTAAATAAATGATTTTTGGCAAAATGTCAAAAAGTGCATTGCACTGCACATAACGTGAGACAAATATTGGTAAAAGTGTGTGTGAAATATTTCACTCATTAAGCCCTCTTTTTATTACAACTAACCCCTACACACACATATACGAGGTATATATATACGCATGCATATGCTCTCTTATCCTACTATACCTTCCTTTTAAAGATAGTTTGTTTCAATTTTTGTTTATGCAATATATCTTACTTTGATGTTATTAGAAAACACAGACTCTTATTTTATATCTCCTCCTCCCAATTATTTGTGGATGTCATGTTTTATACATTTCTTATTTTGATTATAGTATTCCTTGCTCCAACAATCTATAGGAATAACAACTTAACGTGTCGATGTTATGTTCAAATCAAGTAAACTTATATTTACAAAAAATTATCTCATGTAAATTATTCTCATACAATATTTTTGAATTGGACTACAGCTGAACAATAAGAAGTATATCCCATACGGAAACACAAATTAAAAACAGCTAAGCCCGGATCATTGATAGGTAAATCCATTTATTCACTTTAGTATTACACCTAGCTAGCTAGCTAGTACACGTCCAATACATATACTCCCGTATAAGATGTAATTTGACTATTATTATTATTATCAATGGGCCAGAGATGGATACATATAATTATAATTAGTACCGGGGCGACTTAATTATAAGGTAGATTCTATGGTACCCATAAGGTACCATACCTTTGTCCACATGTACCAATGTGAATGTTGCAGTTAAATTATTTAAATCTAAATTAAAAATGATTAAGTGATGTGGTCCAATCAAATGAATGTTAGGTACGGTACCCCATTTTTTAAAAGGATACCGGAGTTGTCACCTAATTATAAAGTGGTAGTCATCATCTTCAAAAAACCATTTTGTGATGAGTCCTCATAATTATTACTGTAAGAGGAGTTGATACACCATCCATAGTCGATGTGAGGATTAGGGTAACGACCACAAAAATCACCGCTTCCCTTTTTGAAGCATTCTTCATTGGACTGGCATAAGTTTGGATGGTCTTCGATCCTCTTAGCAACAGACGCTAGTCGAGGGGTTATGCACTGACTAGCAATCAGCCCCCAAGGGATGCAACGACAGTTGGTAGAATCCCCGCATGGTGGCATCTCAAACGGTGAACACACATCACGCCCATTACATGAAGCACTTGCAATCCCTAAGACATCTACAAAATAAATTATTACAATTATCAGCTCATGTTCATTTCCAATCATAGTAATAACTAATAAGTCAAATAAGCATAGACAAAGTATGTATGTGTATATATACTATGTGTTGTCACTTTTCTTTGTGGCTTTTCTAGTGTCTCTTTTACCTTTATGAAAAAATACATACTTAATTATTAATTTTATCTATCTTACTTTTGACATAGAGCATTCATGGAAAATCAATATAAAAAAAATTATTTAAGAACTCGTGAATTTAAACTAGGAATGTAATTTGCGGGATGTAGGGAGTATATATGTGCTTTGTGTATGAATAAGAAATGAAAAAACCATCTTATAAAAAACGTTAGATTTGAGCATTGTACATTATGTGAAACATAAATATGCAATCATTTTTTGACAAAGAAATGTACTTAATTATTAATTTTATATATCATACCTTTGACAAAGAACATCTTTGGAAAATTAATAAAAACTATTTTGCTTAAGAACTAGTGAATTTAAACTTAAAATTTATGGATTTTCACGGGAAAAATAATTCTCACCAAAATCGTAATAACATATACATGTCTGTATGTGATGATAATGTTTGCTTTCTTGAGAAATGTGAATGGTGTAAAAACATTACACATTCTCTCGTGGTGCACATATTTATTTGTTACAATAATGCCCAATGTGTGGGGACAGAAAAGTTTAGTTTCTTTAGCTCATTTTTCTCAAATAATGCCATTTTTTCTCAAATAATGCCGGTTATAATCGTGTGCACATTTGACAACTTGTCATTCTTAAATGTAACGCACTAAACTTAAAATCATCATTTCTCTCATTAAATTGCATTCTCTTTCGATCCTGTTTTTGTGTGTGTACATGTGTGTGTATTCATATATACGTAGTATGTAATTAAAATCAGTGGAGGACCTAAGGGGGGGCTAGGTGGGGCACGTGCCCCCGCTTCAAGCCCGGAATTTCACTAGTAGTACTTAGGATAAAAACGAGTGCCCCGACTTCATACCAGCATTTGATAATTAAGATACTAAAATGTTACGATTATATAAATAAAAAATTAATACAAAATATTTAAATTTTAGTTGAATTAAAATAAAAGATATAGAATTATCAAAAAAAACAAAAAATAATTAATA